CCTTTGGAGATCCCTTTATAACGACAAAAATCTCGAGGCAGCTCGTAATTCTCTGCAGGTAGACCTTGGAAAGCACAGCAAACATATTCTCAACCCGCTCGTTGCCGCCCATAATTTCGAGTGCAAGATAGCGGTCCAACTGGACAGATCAATGGAGGCTGCCACCGGCTATCTCTCGGTCCCATCTGGCGCGTTTCCTGCCCGCGGGGACTGAAGAGCGGCAAGCAGGAACCGGAGAGTGTGTCGACGCTGAATAATGTCACGGTGTAGACAACTGAATAGGGCTCGATAGAGACCATTGTCAGGGATATTCACTTGGAGGCCCTCAACGCGAAGTTTGAGGAGACATTCAGGCGCGCGCTGGAGCCGGACACGCGCGGGAGGGAGCCCGAGACGGGCGATTTGATGGGGGAGTTTATGGGGTTTCGGACCATGCTGTACATATCTTCCAATTTTTTGATGTGTATGGTAGTGCTGGACTAGACGTTTAGCCGGTACGACTTTGGGGACCCGCACTGGAAGGAGGTTTGGTTCTTTCGGGTGTAGATGTGGGCCAACTCGAGCTTGTTTCTCCTCAAGGCGGCTGGGATGGTCTAGTACTGGGCGAAGCAGTACAAGGCGAGGCGCGCTCCGGGGTCCTTTTTTCATCGGCGCTGAGGGCCGGCTGGGCGGGGCGACACTGGCGGCTGACGTTTAGGGAGGGAGGAGGTTTGTGTTGGTTGGGTGGTTCGAGTTGAGAAACCCCTGAATTAAATCTGCGTGCGGCTACAAAGAAAATTGAGGTCAAGATGGGCAGGCTGAGACTTGCCAGTGTTGTCAAATAACTAATTACGTCTAGCAGGTCTAGATAGGTTATAGAAATGGACGAAAGTTACATTTGCAACCAATGTGGTTGAGGTGGCTCTTTCGTGAATGGGGTACAACCCCTTTTTGACCCCCTTTTTAATGACTTATAAGGACTTATAGGTATATAGCCCTAACCCTGAAAGACCTCATGGACTCCTGTGAAAGTTCGAATCCTTGAAAAGGGGTATACCTGGGCGCACCTACATTTGCTGTCTTACAGAGTCTTATTAGTTGGTTACCTTAAGATATAATCTGGGCCTTCGAATTGAACAGACGGCCTTCCCCACCAGCTGGTCTTGGGCTTGAGACGTGTTGGCTGAGTGCGTTTGAGTGCGCGCGGGTCGGGGTTTGGACTAGGAGACAATGGCATCCAATCGAGCGCGGCACCCGGGACGGCGACAGGGCTGGGACGTCAGAGAGCATTGATGGGATTATTAACACGGTCTGTCAGAGAAGAGGTCGCATGCGACACGACCAAGGCAGTTTGCTCGGCTCTATCGAGGACTCAGGATGCCCCAGGCTAGGAGCCTTGCGGTCGAGTCGTCGAGTCGAGGTTGCATTGAAGGTACAGTCCAGTTGATGTGGGTAGCGGGTGGGTTGTTCAATTGTTCAATCGATGACTGTCAGTTCCAATCGATGCACCAGCCATCGCGAGGCCTGACATCAATGTGGTCTCGATGCCGTCATCCCCTCCTCATAAAACTGTGGCTAGCAACTCAAACAGGAACTCGGGCTGGATCATCCTTGGAATGGGAATGTCTGGGAGCCTGGTCCTTTAAGAACGCGACAAATGGACTCCGATTCTTTGGCGATTTTTCGTGTGGAAACACCAGTGTGGGGGCTTCCAGGGTGGGGCTGCCCGGCCTGTAAGACGCGATGTCCCCAGCCTGTGCTCGGGCCGCGGAGGACAGGACGCGTTGATTTGCTCGAGCCTGATTAAGCCTGGCTGGCTGGCCACTCAGCTGCTTCGATCTAAAGTGAGTGGATACACACCGCGTTGGACAAAGCGTGGGCGCGCCAAGCTCAGCCAGGCGCCTCTCGAGTCTTGATTTGCGGACCGCTGCAGTGCTAATCGCCAGCTCTGCGACGTCTTGCGAGCTCTGCCAAATCAGCGAGCTCTGAGCTCGGTTTGCATGAAGGAGAGCCTGTGGGCTACTGCATGCCCGTACGCCTACTGCAGGCTCCCCCAGGACAATCTCAGTCTCACAGCACCATTCTCCCTTGCGCCTGCACCTTCTGCGATCTGCGTCGCGCTGCCACTGTGTAAAACCGAGGGCTCGTGCCTCTCGTGCCTCTCGCTTCCCCGCTCGTGATCCCGTAGCCCCTTTTCCCATTGGAAGCAGCGCTCGCTCAGTTGCACGCGTAGCGTTTTACCACGAAAACGCACGTCAAGCAGAGAAGGAGCAGCCCAATATCGGCCTGCAGCCGACCCAGCCAAGCCAGCGTGCTCCGTCCCACCTGCGCATCCAGCATGAGCTCGTCTGAGGCCTGAGCGAGCGACTGCCATTCATTTTCTCTGCATTCTCGCTGCACTCTCCATCCCTTGCAGCTGCCCTCGGCGTCCTCCACTCACCCCGAGTTCTTCCCAGCTGCCCACTTCTCCTTCCTCTCTCTTTGGCTCGCCGTCTCCGCCAGCCCATTCCAAGTCCCCATTACACTCCCACCCACCCTCCTGCCACTCGCTGCCTTCAATTCGGGCTGTCAGACCCCATCCTCCCACAATCTTTCGCACACCCGAGCGCTTCATCAGACAATACCACAGCATCTCCGGCAGATACTCGACATTGCCTGCATTGGCCTGCCTCGCACACTTTCCCCCAACCTACCACCGCCGACCAGCTCCCTCGTTCGCTGTCCGCTGACCTCTCGTCAACCTGAATTCGCATTACGTCTGCCATAGCCTGGGCCTCGACAACAGAGACCGCCTCCGCCCCACCAATCCGACCGCATCGCGCGGCCACTTGGTGCAATAAGACTGGCACACATCCCTCGTCTCGGCGCCCTCTCGCCTCCTTTCGCTCTCCCCTCCCCCCAATTCTCGCTACTCTTTGGCAGATATACATTCTGCTGCACCCACCCGAAGCGAGAGCGATCCTGAGACGGACAGAAAAATAAACAAACACTTGCGTGCGAGTGTTAGTGTTGGACAAGATCCCCCTCGGGAAGGAAGGGAGTTGGGCTGAGCAACACACCCCGCAGCGAGCAATTGGACTGCCGCATTCGACCACATATCGCCACGACAGCACTACCTTGCCCCCATTCTCCACTATGGCCGCTGTTGTCCGTCAGCCATTTGCACCCCTCGATGGGACTCGGCTGCAGAACCTGACCAACTTGAAGAACCGTCAGAACTGTATGTTGCCCCTTCTCGTGTCAGACTGGCATGGTTACTGACCTTGTACAGCCATCTCAAATGCCCCCGTGAAGCGGAAGGCTGCCGAGGTCGAGGTTGACGACTCCGAAAATGTCGACCCCTCGTTCTTTTCTAAGCGATCTAAGGGCGCGGGCGCCGACAAGGATTTCGCCAAGGACTTCTTCAAGCCCTCCAACTTCATCCTCACTAAGGCCGTCTCGACGCCCAGCCTCCCCTCCGCCAGGGATATCCTCAGCCCTCCCAGCAAGCTTGCGTCCGCTCGGCCGCGCAGCGTGCTCCAACCCAAGTCTCCGGCCGCTCGTCTGAACACCAGCATCTCGGTCTCGTCACTCACTGCACCGGCAGGCCGCTCGCCCACTCGGGGCTCAAAGCGGATTGGAATCCTCTCTCGGCGCCGCACTCAGCGTGTCGACCCCCCGTCCTTTGGTCTTGGCGCGGCCGCCCCCTTCTCTCTCGATGCCGCGCTTAAGGGCACCATCCCGAGCTACTCAGGGAGCGTCCGCAGCAGCGCCTCGTCCAACTCACTCCAGCAGCCTGAGGTGAAGTCATCGTGGTTCTTTGACATTCACGAAGACACGCCCGAGCAGGAGATGACCAATCTGCTGCAGCACGGCACCTGCACGCTGGACATCAGCAGCGACGAGGAGTCGGAGCGCAAGGCGCGGCGTGACTGTGACGAGGGTCGTGACAAGGAGAACATCGCCCCCGCCGACGACGTCAGCCAGACATCTGCCCGTGCCCGGGCTGCCCCTGGTTTTGACGACATGATTGTCGAGAAGCAGCGTGGGCCCCTCATCGAGATGGACGTGTCCGACTTCTACGCACAAGGCTGTGACGACGCCAGCGTCATCATTGTGCCTGGCGACGACGATGAGGCCGAGACTGTTATCGACGAGACGGAACAGGCACCTCTCCCTGAGTCTATCGCCGAAGACGAGTTCCCGCAGCCCGACGAGAACTTTGATGATTTATTCGAGTTCGCGCCGCTGGAAGTTCTTGCCGAGCCCGAGGCCTCCAGTGTGGACCTGCTGATGGGCAAGGACGAGCCAGCGGCCAAGGCGGCGTTGCTGGAGCCCATTGAGGGCACTGGCGAGAGCTTTGAGCTGTGGGAGAGCGGAAGCGCTAGGGACGATGGAGATGTGCCCGCATCACCGATCCCCGCCGCGATGGAGGATGTTGCCGAGGCGAGTACTTCTGCCGAGAGCTGATTGCAAGTCTCGCGGTATGTTGTTTTTTGCGGCTTGTTGGCTTTTTGTGGTTTTTGTTTACGGCCTGCTTGCCTTGGCTTAATCGTGACTGTTATTCCGTAATATCATACCCTTTTCCAGGAAAACTGGTGTCAAAAGGCGGAAAGGAGTCAACTAGGCGTTGTTGGCATTTTGAACGGATTGGCTTTGCTGGAGGACTTGCTGGTCACGGATGGGAGCGAGGAGTGCGGAGTGTGGTTCGGGATGTAGGTATACTACTGTTAGTGTTTGCTCTTAGATCGAGGCTGTTCGTATGCAAACTGTCGGTTTACCCTATCAGCTTGACTTTGGTTCTGGTGACATGTTGCGCTTGTAGCCGCCGATGTGGTGAGTGTGGTGAGTGTGGTGAGTGTGGTGAGGGGACTAAAATAGAATAGGTACGGATCCTTGGTCGACGCGGGGACTGTCAAAAGGGAGCACCGGCGTGGTTGAAGGGTGGAGTCGGGAGGAGTGGAGTGGGAGGTTGAGTGGAACCCCTGTGCGGCCCCACCCCGCCGTTGAAGGTGCCTAATTTGTAGCAGGAGGGACATCAATCCCCCGTGGCGCAATTGGCTAGCGCGTCAGACTGTTATCCTGACAGATTATCTGGAGGCTGGTGGTTCGAGCCCACCCGGGGGAGCGATTCTATTTTTTTCGGGTTTTGCTTGGTTTTGTCTCTCTTTTTCTTTTTATCAACCAATCTTTGTTTGGTTGGGTTGATGATGATATTGTATCTGGCAACGTTGAGCTGGCCAGCAGGTTGTGAACTACTACTGCTATGGATGAACTTTGGTTTTTCAGGAGGTTTCATTGATTTACCTATTCTCGCCCGTGAGGAGGAGTTTTTTGGCTGGAGACGAGGTTAAGTGAGTTCTTGTCCTCTTTCCCGTCGCGCTTCAGGTTACGATGGCTGGAGACATGGGGTAGAGTTTGCTTGTGCCCCGGGAATAGGTAGGCTGCCTCTCTTGGAAGGAAGGTTACCTGCGCCGAGTGTGATAGCCGCCTGCCCTGCTGTTGTCCATTAGGTTAAATTGTCTTGAAAGAGGAACTAGCTATATTAGCTAAGCAGCCGTGGGCCGGCCCCAATTCATTTTATTAGTCTTCTGCCCAGGTAGAAGACGCGGGCGCTCTCTAGTCTAGGTTGCGCAGAATTAGGCAGGAGCGCGCGCTCGAGTCAATTTCAGATTTTTTGTTTCCGGCAGCGACAGAGAAGGCACGCTTGACAAGGCAGTGTCTTGGGCACTAAGGCAACCTACCTTGCGCTGGGAACCCCCAAGCCCTAGAAGCACATATTTGAATTTCTCCCTGTTCCTTGTTGCGTTTTGCCCCATATTCCCAAGTCAATCCAACACAAATATGGATCTCATCAAAGCTGAAGAGCAGCTCAGGAGGAGAGGCATCGATATCAGTGTGCAGGCACATGATGGACAAACAGCGCTGCATGTTGTAAGCCAACCAGAAATCGCCGGGGCATTGCTCAACGCGGGAGCTTCGCTCAGTCAAACCAACACTTTCAACTTCACCCCCCTCCCCACGGCTGCGAGCAAGGGCAATTCTGGGGTCGCAAACCTGCTGATCGAAAGAGGTGTCGACATTGAAGACGATTCGGAGGCAAACCGCGGCGGGCTTCATCCGGTCCTTAAACTACTTTTTGAGCAAGGAGCTGCTAATACGTAGGACCATCTTGGCAGAACACTGTTGTCATGGTTAGCTTTGGGAGGGTATGAAAACAAGGCAAGACCATTGCTATCCTATAGAGACCCATAGCTTAAGGACCAAGTCTACCACACCACTACTGATGGCTGCTCAAAAATGGCCATCTCTTGACAATCAAACTGCTCTTGAGAGTGGTGCTTTCGTATACATCATGGTCTCGGGACAATAGGACTTCCTTAACATCTATTAGTAAAAGGTCATGATTCAATATCGTTGCTGATGGCTCATGGTGCTAATGCAAACCACTGTACCAGCAACAGGCAGATACTGCTATTTCTAGCAGCTAAAAATGACTATACATGGTGGTAAAATTGTTGATTGAAATGGGAGCTCGAGCCGACATCCCGGACAGCAGTGGATCAACGGCACTCTCAGTTGCCAAGAGAAAGGGCAGAGATGCGGTGGTCAGGTTGTTGTCTCGCCATACCCGAATCAGCAAAGAAGAGCTGGCTAAAGCGAGCGGGTCACGCTCGCACGAGTACACCCCCTCGCGGGACATAATCGCAGACGGTTGCTTGAGCTCCAGCCAGGCCGCGATGGCGACATCATATCCTTTACCCTTCAGGAAGTAGATCTCAAACATCACCCATTCTACGAAGCACTCCGTATGAGTGGAAAGACAGAAATGGATCTGTTTGTGACCCCTAATCTCAAGGCTGCGCTGGCGGTTCCCCGCCGAGTGGCTGAGTGGAAAGGCGTGATAATCCCTGGTGCGGTCTTGGTGGTTATACGGCGTTGGTTATCTTATGTACCTCGTTACGTTGGGTATCATGTCGATTCAGGAGGCTTGTTCACAAGGTCAACAACTTACCTCGTGCTAGCGGACTCCTCCCGGAGCCGGGCACCCGTGATACAGGTCTTTTCACGGGAGTCTTACAAGTGTTTGAAATGTGCTTCTATAATTATCATGACCAAGTGTTCTCGACTGTATACCAAACTCCAAAGCCCCCATTGCCAACGAGGATTCCCAGACAGATGACGAAGAAATGCCTGCTACAAAGATCACCGCTGAACCATGTCAATATCTTGGTCGCCCCTGTTTGCCGAATCAAGATCATGCTCAAAGGACATCTGGATGTCCATGACCTGCTGCAGCTGCTTCTGATCCAGCCTGCGGCGCTTATAGCTGGCGAGGCTCTTGGCGGTGCGCACGACGTTCTTGATCTGGCGGCCGTTGAGCTTGCCCTTGGCGAGCTGGCGGTATCCCTCCTCGTCGATGTCCACGCCGCCCTCGAGCCTGCCGAGGAAGTTGCGCCAGACCTTGAGCCGGCTCTCGGGCGGCAGCTCGGTGTACTTGAGCGGAACGTGGATGCGCGACTTGAAGGCATCGTCAAAGGTCCGCACGCGGTTCGTCGTCATGAACAGGATGCCCGAGTAGTACTCGAGGGTGCGCAGGAAGATGGAGACCAGCCCGTTGCGGTTCATGTCGTGCAGCGAGCGCCGCTCCAGGAACACATCGGCCTCGTCGATGAGCAGCACCGCGTTCCACGTCGACGCGAGATCCAGCGTCCGGCTCAGCTTCTCGTCCAGCGTCGAGGGCGTTGTGCCGAGATCTCCGCTCGATACGATATACAGGGGCCGCCGGCTGAACTCGGCCACGCACTCGGCCGTCAGCGTCTTGCCCACGCCGGGCGGGCCGTGCAAGACCAGGATCAGCCCCTGGCCCTTGCCCTTGACGATGTCGTCAAACCCAGCGGCGGCCGACCGCTGCGTGTGCTCGGCCACCAGCGCCTGCACCAGCTCCTTCTGCGACTCGGGCAGCACCAGCTGCTCGAAGCACGACGTGTTCCAGTCGATGGGCCGCAGCTTGTCGACAAAGAACTCGAGGAACTTTTTCTCGGTGAACGAGAAGCCCCGCACGACGGCCGACGCCAGCAGCGCCTGCGCGTCGGTCAGCGGCGCGCGCGTCTTGCCGACGGGCGCGGCGTCCTCGGGGACGAGGTCCCAGTCGTCCGAGGCCGGCGACTGCTTGCGCTTGGCGGCGCCGCCGAGGGGGGCCTCGGCCTCGGGCTTGGGCTGGGGGAAGGCGGCGACGCTGTAGGCGTCGTCGGCCTCGATGCGGTGGAAGGTGTGCGTGTCGACCATGACGCGGCCGTCGATGTTGAAGCGGCCGCCGTCGGCGTCGGTGGCCACGCCCTTGTACTCGCGGAAGTTCTGGCCGGCGAGGGCCTCCCACCGGCGGCCGCGGGCCGTGAGGGCGCGCGTCACGCCCTCGGGGTCCGGGTGGTGCTGCAGCGGGAGCGCGGGCAGCGAGGCGATGGGCACGGCGCCGCCGAACTGCGGGATGAAGAGGCTGTCGCCGCGCGAGCCGAAGTCGTCGCCGTCAAAGTCGGTGAACTCGACCTGCAGCTGCAGCCCGGGGCACTGGCCGCACTGGTAGTGGTACATGCCCAGCTTGAAGATGCGCGGCTGGCCCTTCTTGCTGCCCAGGACGAGCGAGCCCGGCTTGAAGATGGTCCACAGGTGCTCGTACGACACGAGGCCCTTGTCGCGCAGGTTGTCGCCCTGCTTGATCTCGTCGGCAAAGTGCTCGTCGATGAAGTCCAGCAGGATGGGCAGGTGGGCGGCCCCGTCCGACCCCGGCTCCTGCTTGGCCACGGCGGCGTCGAGCTCGGGCTGGTAGTGGTACAGGCAGTGCGCCGGGAAGTCGATGGCCACATCGGCCGTCGCGAACGACTGGCCCGGATACGCCACAATGGTCTCGGCCAGCACGTCTTTCAGGGCCTGCGAGTTGACCTGGACGCTGGTGCGCTGCACGTACTTGTTCTGCATGTCGTACTGGCGCGTCACGCACAGGGCGAACTTGTCGTACCAGTTGAACTTGTCCTCGGGCAGCTCGTCGTCGTCCTTGGGCTCGGTGATGTACCCGCGCCCCTTCCTGGTCCACCGCTTCTCGAGGTGCTTGAGCTCGGCCTGCATCGGGGCTTTCTCGAGCTCGGCGCGCCGCGCTTTTTCCTCTTCGGTCAGGTGGCCGAGCATCTCCTGCTGCTCCTCCTCGTCGGGCACGCCGTTGGGGTCGGGGTCCGGGACGCTGCGCCGGGCTGTCTGTCTGGTGCGAGCCATTGCGATGTCTTGTGATGTCGTGGGATGTCTCGTTCGGGGTGTGTGTGTGTGTGTGTGTGCGTGTGCGTGTGTGTGGAGTGCAATTGGTTGCTTGGTGGCAAGAACAGATGATGAAGAGAAAAGAAAGGAGATACGAGAAACCGAACAGAGCAGCACTTATATAGAGCCTCGTCTGGCTGTTACACAGGCGTCAAGCTCCATGGGGAGCCTTGACATGGCTCAGGGGCATGTTGCATAACTGGGACGAACAATCAGGCAGCCATACCCCGCCGGCAGTGTTGTCAACCGCTTTGGCGCAGCAAAACACAAAAAAGGCACTTCAGCCTGGAATTGTCGTACACTTGGTTCGACGGTGAGTCAATACGCGGGGTCGGCGGCCGCCGTGATAGGACGCCGAAGGATTCCCGCCCCACTCGGCTGCCTTGCGCCCCTGACGCGGCGCCTGGAAGCCACGGCGAGTTAATAGGTGTTGAATCAGTAATTGAAGAAGTTTGCTGCTTCGTATTGGTCTCCAAGAAAATGCAGCTCACTGTTGGAAAAGGCAACATGAAACCGTGGGACGGTGCATCATCGTTGGAGTCAAGTTGCGAACGACCGGGGGCGACGTTGTTACGAATCCCCAGTACTGGACGCCCTAAAGATGTGCCGCCGACATCAGTAAGCCATTCTGAGCATTCAAAATAAAAGTTTAAGCAATGGATTTTGCAGAATTTGCAACAATCGTCATTATATGCATACGTGAAGACAGTCGAGTCGCCCCTTGAATGTGGATCGAGACCGGCGCAGCTCCGGCTCACCGGTCCGAGTCTCGGGGCCGGCCGAAAATAGCCGGCCCAATAAATCCGAACTTTCCAGCGCCAT